GCTGGAGGTACTGAAAAGAGGTGTAGACGTGGCGCTTAGGGACATGGCTTAGTGGTGGAGCGGGCAGTGCTAGGTTAACGGTTGGACTCGATGATCTTGAAGATCTTTTCCAACCTAGATTCTATGATAAAGTACATATTTGAACTTTGAAGATATAACTAAAGTTTTCTTATGTGGTGTTTTGCTTTGCGTTTGAGTGGGGGTTTTTTTAATTATTGAAGATTATATAAGGTTATCAAAAAACTCCCTCTTTTCTGTGAGGGTTCCCAGGCCCTCCTCACTGTCCCACTTGGTGTTTCTGTAGAAACAAGCCACCAGGCTCTCCAGAACATGCCCAGAGTCCTCCGGGAAGTGGAAGTCTTGAAACAGGAGGCAACGTTCCTGAAGGAGCAAATGATCCTTGTCAAAGAAGATATCAAGAAATTTGAAGAAGACACAGCTCAGTCAATGCAGGTGGGTTCTCATCTTACCCAGCATTTGTCTGCAACTTGTAAAATTCTGAAGTTTCCAGACTTGTTTGTATTAAACAATCTTGTGAACTTAAGATAGACAAAACCACTTCTTTTAATATTAATAGTAGAAAAGTGAGCACGACACAGGTTAATGCAATGTGTATTTCCTGAGGAACAGCTGTTTGTGTTTAAGTTCAGACAGAGTTGCTGTTACCTGGTTGGGGCGCTGATTTCTGCCTGGTGTTAGCAGGGGTGTGTAGATTTTTTCAGGCAAAGTGGATACTAAAAGTACAAATCCAGAATTCAAACTAACCTTTTGTTGTTTGACTTTGGAAACTGTTTTAACATCTCTAGGTCTTCCAGCCAGCTCGTTCTTCCTTGTAACAGGCACGATCGTTTCACCCAATTTTAAAAATCCAAAGTCCACATCTATGGGAGTATTTATGGCACCTATCTTTTGTTTTAATGGGAAACATTGTATTTTTTTCCTTCAGGTCCTGGTAGAGATTGACCGGGTGAAATCTAGAATGCAGTTGGCTGCCGAATCACTTCAGGAAGCAGACAAATGGAGCACGTTAAGTGCAGACATTGAAGAGACTCTTAAAACACAGGTAGGTACCCCACTGTTCTTTTTGTTCTTTGTGCCTTCAGCTATCCAGGGAAAGCGTGTTTAAAAGTAGGTTTTTGAAGTGACTTTAAAACACGTACCTGTTTGTAAAATGTCATTATGAAATTGGTGTTAATGCTTTCTAAGGCCACGTTCGGTAACCGGGTTGACTTTCCCTGGTGGCAGGATGTGTCTGTGATTTCGGCCAAACTAACAAGCATGCAGAGCAGCCTGGCTATGCTTGTGGATACGCCGGATTACTCCGAGAAGTGCGTGCATCTTGAGGCTCTGAAGAACCGACTAGAGGCCATGGCCAGCCCTCAGATTGTCGCTGCTTTTAACTCCCAGTCTGTAGGTCAGTAAGTCTTGCTGTCATTTACTATCAATGCAGAATTTATTTTCCTTAAAAAGTAGAATGTTGTTTGGGTGGGGAGTTTGTCCTGAAGGCCGTTGACACTGGGTTCTGGCTTTTTCTGGTGGAGCCAAATGCCATGAGCTGTTATGTGCTCTGCAGCTGCCTGTGGTCCAGTGCATCTTTCATCCTCCTACAGTTTGGTGTACCCGTGGCCGCTGTGGGAAGTAAGGAAAATGTGAGCTGGTTTTATGGACCATGTAGATGTGTGAAACGGAGGTGCTGAGGCAGGGCTGCCCTGCTGTCATAGTTTAGTTATGCATGGATGCCCTCGAAATGAGAAGTGCTGCTCAAGTAAGTGTAAGGCCTCTGGTTTTGCATTATCATAGTACTACAGGGCATTTCTGCTACTGCTTGGTGTTGTAATCAATAAGGAAATTTGTTTGGAAACATTCTGACTCCTTACTATGTGGTAGAAGTTGTTTTATAAACTCTCCTTTAGAAGATTTGACTTTTCGAACTGTTCTTTGTGCTCCTCCTTCCTTCTCCTACTGCCACAGCACTTCTCAAAAATACCCGTTCTGGTGGTTGCCTCTCATCTATGTGCACTTTGAGGTCCCAGTGAGGATCTGGGGCTGCGGTGTTTTTGCTGCGTAGCACTCTGTGGAGTTCTTGTCTACGTAAAGACAAGGTGCAGCTGTGCATGACTGCAGACAGCTGAAGGGAGCAGAGGAGAGAAGCAGCTCTGTGTGCTGTGCTTCTAACAAATGTGCTTAATCCTTTGCACAGATCTTTCTCTTTTTTCTCCCATTCCTCTGCTGGCTTTTCTTTGCACAGCCTCCTTTTTTTCTTGAACTGTGCTCATCACCTTCACAGTAGGTCCCATGCTGGTTTTCTGCTGTTGCAGTGCATGACCCTTTACAGACAAATTCAAGACAAAGGATGATGTTTTGGAATATTTTTCTCTGCTTTAGATGAAAGTAAATTGAATATTCGTATGCTCTGTGAGTTCTCCACCAAAGAAAACATATTGGTGCAAGAAAGCTGCTGGCAGCAGGTTTGCTGGTATGAGGTCCTTTGCTTAGGCATGCTATTCAGAATAATTCACTTTGAGCACTGTTTGTATTCTCTTTCAAAATCTGTTCTGGGCATGTGGAGACATGGCTTTTTTTCCAATTGAGGAGAGATTCTCTGTTATCTGTGAAGTCATGTTTTTTCCTGAAGCGTCCAGCTCTTCTAAATGTAGTACAAGTCCGTAAACATATCCCCAGAGTGTCTGTATTCTGTGACTTCCACAGCCGAAGAGCACTTCTAGTTAGTTAGTGTTCTAGTTTATCTGCTTTCTGGGTCCTGTTTGAAAAGCAAGGTCTGTTTCTGACTAATTTCTAATTAATTTCTCTAACCTGAGATGTATTTTGTGGGCAGAACTATAGTCATCCTCCTTACAGTACAAAAACCCCAGACTTTTGAGGAACTTGGATTTCAAAGCTTTGTGTAAGAATTGACTGTGCCATTAGTTGGTCTCGAGGCAGGTCGCTTAGGTATCAGTGTGAGGTGTTCTGAAGGCAAAGCTGAGGACTTTGTAAGGTATGTTCGAGTTTTGTAGATGGTGGCTTGTTTCTGGAAAATGATGATTTCCTTCTAGGAAATGCTCTGGTTTTAGCTGTCTTTAATACTAGATACATTTACTGGTTAAGAAGTTAATTTTAAGAAGTTAAATTAATTCCTTGTGTCTGCTACCTGTTCTTGTTTGACTGTGGGTTTTAGGCAGTTCTGCTCCTATTTGAGAAGATAAGCAAACAAAAAGTCAAAGTATGTCCTTCTGTCTAGGCTATTGTGCATACTCCCTTAAAAGAAGAAGTATCTTACTTAGACTAATGTCTCACCCTCAGCTTTGAGACTGTTAACTGCCTATTATTTTGTTTTGTTTAGATCAGGCAAAAACATTTGTTAAAGTCTTCACCGAAATTGATCGGATGCCCCAGCTTCTTGCTTATTACTATAAATGTCACAAGGTAAGTATTTTGATAATATTTTAATATGGTGGCATAAAAATTTGAATTCTTGTGTGGCTTGGACTGTAGGGGGAGCTGCTACATCATGTATTTTCCCTTTCCTGTTCGAAGGGGGATGGAACCTGTTCTTTTCCTTATTTCATTCTCTGATTTCTCTCTCTGGCTCTTAACAGCTTTGGTTACTTCCCATGCTTCAGGAGTAATTCTCCATTCAGGGCTTTGTGTTCATTCCTGCAACAGACATAGGATATATGCGTTCTGCTTGATTTCTCTGTGCCTTATGGTTTTGCTTTGCTTTTTTTGGATGTGGCTATGTCAGCAATAACTTTATTGCTGCAACTTGCCAGCTGCTGACTTCTGTAAACTCTTTTCAGATAAGATTAAAAGTTGGAATTCCAGACAGTTCTGTAGCCATAACCTGATCCTCAAAAGTTCTCTCATGACTGTGACTTTTGAGGATTAAGTTCAAGGCTGGGGCTTGCCAAGTATTTCAACTATTATGTGAGAGTATCAGTTACAGTCTCATTTTATGAGTAAAATACCAATGTTAATTAAATCTTTGAATCAACTAAGATGCCTCTGGCCTCGTGCTGAAAGTCACTTCCTTCTGTGGCGCTATAGCAAAGCGTTATGCTGAAATCTGCAGAGAGGAGCAAGGGTGGGCATTGTGTTTTAGCAAAAGTGCTTTGCATGGGAAGTTCTTGGTTTGAAATAAGAAAAGCTAGATCTGTGACTGTCAGTTCTCCTCTTAAAATGGTTCTTATTACCCCTGCAGGTGCAGCTGGTGGCAGTGTGGCAGGATCTTTGCCAAAGTGACTTAAGCTTAAATCGCCAGTTGACTGAGCTGTACGACACACTCCTTGGGACCTGGCACTCACAACTTCAGTGGGCAACACAGGTGCGGTGACTGTTTAATATTGTTCAGTGTATGGGAGAAGATGAGATTGAGCACGCCCTCTTAACTCTCATAACACTCAGAATAGTTCATCGGTGCTCACTCTTTGAGTTATACTCTGTGCCTTATCAATGCAAGACAGGGCTTGTAACCTACTTTCTGTTTCTTGTCCAGCTCTTGCAGACAAAATTTGATTTCTGGTGTTCTACCAACAGCAAGGTTGCTGTGTTATTGACAATAAAGCTGCTCTATCACTTTCATCTGTATCTTAAGTTAAATCTAATTTGTTGGTGTTGCAAATGTGTTCTCTTGCAAGACATTTGAAATGCCTGAATTACTTTATCACTTGGCCTGGAGGAAGCCCTCAAGGTCATATTGGACTGATTCATGTCACTCTGTAAGATCTCTGAGGGTTTCTGCTATCACCCCTTGGAGTCTGTGTACTTGTTTTTCCTGCCAAGAATAATGTAGGATCCGAAAAAGTTATTGTCCTTTAGTGAAATGAAGAAATAAGTTCATATTGTTGAGCCTGTAAGAGGTTTTCATCCATGAAGGGTAAGAGATTCTTATCTTCATGTTACGAAGCTCAGTGCAAGTGCTAGGCCTGTACTGCAAAGGACCTCAATGTTTCCTTCAAATGTATTTTTTCTGCCTAATGATTCGATATGAATTACAGGTCAGATGTCAGCTTACATTTTAGCAGATATTATTTGAACTGGGGATTGTGAGAGAGAAATGGCACATGGGACAAAGCTCGTGTCACTCAATCTCCTGCGTTGCTTCTGCTTTCTGAAGAATTCTTGGACCTTTTTCATGCTATTCAGTATCCATGGCGACCTTGCTGCAGGAGACTTGTGGTGATCCCAGCTTTCAAAGCAAATGAGCAAGAATAGCTGACAAAAAAGCCACAATAAAAGGCTGTAACACATTTTATGCTAATGAAGTTGAGGGTGGTGTGTGTAAATAAAAGTTCTCAGCTGATTTCTGGCCTTTCCAGTACTGACTTCTGCCTATCTGACCATTAATTTGGCTCGTGACATAGTGCTATTTCTTCATATTTTCCCCATATGTGTGGTTTTTTCCCAACACACCTGTATAAACTGAGTGCTCTGTTTGCAAATACCCTTTTCTGCCAGGTGTTTTTTTTTATTTACTGTAGTGCCTGTGTTCTGCGAATTCAGGTTTTGACCTATACCTGTCTTCTGGTTTCTTGGTTACTGTATTCAAACCACAGTTTCAATGGTAAAATACGTTTTGACCTAGACTTTTGTAATTGACCTGTCCTGCATGCTTGGTCAGCGAAGTTCTTGTAGTCTCATTAGACCTCCTGTGGTTTGTTGGGGGTTTTTTTTACCCCTTGTAAGGTTTTTTTAAATTTTGTTTTTGTTCCCTTTTGGTCGGGAGCTCCTGTCATCTGAGGAATCTGTGATCTATCAGTGCACAAAATGTCATCTTCTTGATCTGTATATCACTGACTCTCACCAATAGGTAATTTTATATTAATTCTTTAATAGAAAGAAGCACAGGCTGTGCTGGGTGTGAAAAAGTCCAGGTCGGGCTGCTACTGCTTTCTCTCCCAACTCGTTTCTTTCTCCCCCAACTCGTCACCCCCCAGTTATGGCAGCCTGCCTCTCTGCTGCCAGCATTTGCCAACCCGACTGTTCTGCCTCTTCTGTCCCTCTGTTTCAGCAGCCCAGGTCTCTGTGGCAAGGGCACAAGGGAGATTACAGCAGGCGTGATCGCCCCTGGGAAGCAGTGCTGCTTCTGCCACTGGGGCAGCAGCACGTGTTCAGGAGGGCTGAAGGAGGTTTCAGCCCCTGGACAGCCAGGACCTGCTCTGTTTGGAGTGGGACAGTCTGTCTTTGCTGAGACAGTGACATGTGGGTTGTATGTTGTGGGGTGCTCTCTGGAAGCTATCTGCTTCTCTCTGCTGCCCGTTGTGTTCCTTTTGCTAATAGCTCTTCTGTTACCACAGGTTTTCAAGAACCCCCATGAAATCGTCACTGTATTGTTGATTCAAACTCTGGGAGCGTTGGTGCCTTCCATCCCTGTCTGCCTCAGCACTGCCATGGAGAGAACGGGCCAAGAAACCAAGCTGAGTAAGCTGCTGGAGGTCTATGATGCCACCGTCCACTTCGGAAAAGGGCTGGAAGTAGCAATGCTGCCAAACCTGAGTAAGGTTCTTGCTGAATTTTATTCTGTTCAGTCAACTCCTTTGTAAAGTTCCAGTGGGGGATTTTGTTTAGTTGTACATGGAGGGAGGGATTATCTCATCTACAGTATTGACCAGTTACATGACATCTCCACCTTTGTGTGTTTATCTATATATCTTACATTAAAGATATTGACACAATACAGAATGAGTTTACTGAAGCAGACCTGTTCTGAGCATGCTTGCTGTCTAGAGTAAATAATATTTAGCACTTTTCCTTTTACAAGCATTAGTATTTCTTCTGTCTAACAGATGAGGAAATGTCGCTAGGGAAGCTATCTGTGAAACCCATTGCGAAAGATCACAAAGCATAAAAGTTGAGGAGTTCCCTGGAATTAAGTCACACCTTACTAAACAAGAGAAAACCTACTTGAAAGCTGCATCCATTGGACTTTTAATTTTTATTTTGTAGTTTTTCTGTTGCTACTGGCTTATGTTTTAATCAAACAAAAATGCACGGCCAAACATTATTTCTGAACCGTTGGTAGTTTATTCCCTAGCAGCAACCTTGGTGTTTGATTCAAAATCTACCCTATGCTTCCTTACCCTATGATGTTTATCATCTCATTTTGGTCATGACTTGATGAATAATTCCTGCAAACTGCAAAGTAGTGAGGTGCTGTGTTTACATAGATTTATGCCTGATTTGAACTGTTGGCTATTTGTAGTCCTTTATTAATCTGGTAGGGCCCCTTCAAAGACTGGGTATGGGAAAATCTTAAATTAAAGCTAATGGAGCATTCCTAATGCTGTGTTTCCTGTGTTTGGTTCCTCATAACATTGTCTTGAGCTATTTAAACCTGGATTCTTACTTGATCATGTAAATTATGATTACTGGGCAATTTCAGGGAGTATGACACTCTTTGTGTCTGTTTTTGTTGTCTTTGTGATTGTGTACTCTTTTCAGTCACTTTCTGTCCTTGGCTTAGCTTAATTTGTGGTTCATAATAGAAACAATTAAACAGGACTTGGAAAAATTATGTCAAATTCTAGAAGATGATGGAATAGGAAGACAGCTGCTGAACTGTTATCTGTATTAAAAAAAGTAATTCTTTATTTCCATCTCTTTTGCTTTGGGGTAAGATGTTTGGGAAGGGAAATATCTCAAGAATGGAAAGACCAGGTGACTCAGCAGAACAGGGTCAAACCAGTTCCCACACGTGTTTATGTGAGGGGAGGTTTCAGTTATGATTCATAGGATAAGTCAGGTTGGAAGGGACCTCATGAGAAGATCTAGTCCAGCCTTCTGCTCCAAGCAAGGTCCGCTATGGGTTCAGACCATGGTACTTGGGGTATTGTCCAGTCTGATCTTGAAAATGTCCAAGTGTGGAGATAGCACAAGCTTTGGACAACCTGCTCCATTGCTTGCCTGTCCTTAGGGTGTAAAAGTTTTTTGTTATATACAGGATTCAAAGTAATTCTGGTTTGCCGCTAGTCTGAGTTTGGCAAAACTGCATGATAACACCTGGTGTCCAGTTCTGATTTGAGAAATAATCATTCAGATGGGGCTTTTGTTCAACAGAATGGCACTGAGATGCTAAGTTCATGGTTCACATTCAGCTCTGGTTGATGAGCACCGTGAAACAGTAGTGCTGAGTGAATTGAGTTAGCATCAATTATTTTAAGTATGAACGAGGCTTTCTGATAAATGAAGATTGCCCCTGCTTAAAGTTGTGGGAGTAATGTGTTTCACTTCTCAAATGCTTTCAATGCTTTTCTTCTATTGTAGGTTGGAACGTTTAATAGATTTTTGTCACCAAACTGTTTTGGAGCAGTGAGTGATAATTTTCTTGAGGCACTTGTTGAGGTAGAACATCTTGGATTTAGGAAGCAGGTAGAGATAATAACCTTATTTTTAAAAAAATAAAATAGTCTGTGTAGTTGAGACTTAAAGCTGTTGGGCGACATTCCAAGCCTGTGTAGGCAGCATGCTCTAATTGAAGAACTACTGCATGTTGCTTGAAACAAGGTTTTTAGTAGCACGTTCATCTGTTTGTAGACTATAAACCTATGATTCTTTTGTAGAGGAGCAGAACCTGGTAAAAGTGATGGAACTGGTGGAAGTGGTGTATGGTCCATACAAGCCCTATCAACTTGAGTATGGAGATCTGGAAGAAGAAAATCTCCTCATTCAGATCAGTGCAGTGCCCTTGGTAACGTGGCAGTCTTTGTTCAACTACACAGGGAGGGGCTTGAAACATCTACTGTATACAGAAGGGTCTTTGCCATAGTTATTGCTCTCTCCTCTAATTTTTTGGTAATATTTCCTGTTTGCAGTATATTTTGATACTGTTAATTAAATTTTGTTTAAGAAATAAAATTAATTGCAGCAGCACTGTCAGGTCGGAGGTAACTCCTTTCTTCTGCTCCTTCATCCAGTAACTGGCACTGTGTGGATCTGCTGGAGAAAGACTTTACCAAAATATTACTATCAGCCAAGAATCTGCTTCAGGTTTGATAGCATTTACTAAGAACAAGACTGGTGGGAGGAAAGTACTTTTTGTGGAAGATTCTGTTGTTGGCAGAATTGTTTTTCCTTGAAGACCTGGTACACAGAGGATTTGATAGCCTGACTTCTATTAACATTCACTGTGCAGGAGGGTGGAAGCAACCAGCGTTGTTCTTCCTTAAGTGTGTCACAAGATTGGGGGATACTGAGAGAATAATGTGCTGCACAAGGTGTCTTTTCTTTAATGCCTGGACACTCACTGAAAGAAGAGTCAGGTTCAACTTTGTTGTTGTTATTGTTGTTATTTAGGAGCATTGGGAAGTAATTGACTGTGTCCAGGAACTGAACCATTCAGTCAACAAACTCTTCATTCTGGCTTCTGGAGCCATCGACAACTGCATCAAACTCACCGATGGACTGGGAGTGTGTGGGCTCCTTAAGGCCCTGAAAGCTCTGTTCACAAAGTAAGGTGCTTCTAGTTACACTGCTGCTTTTATCCTAAGGGAGTAGCAAGTATTCAGTTTGTGGACAAGGACTTTGTAGTTTATGAAAAATGACTGACAGCAGAAAATATCTTTAACTGTAATATGAATCATCTGATATCTCCTCCTACCGCTGCATTCAGACAGTGACTATTTCTTAGGGGAAAAATGGAAGCTTTTTATGGCTAAATCAAAGACTTTTCTCAGTTGTTTTCTATTCTGGTTATTTTTAATAAATACTTTTGGAGGGGAAAATGTTTCCCAAAACAGAAAAAGACAAAATGAGGCTGATGAAAGTAGAGCTCAGTGGGGAAATGTATACTTACTGGGACAAGTAACCTTACATTCAGAATCTACCTGTAAGTGCGAGAGACTCTAGTGGGTGAGGTTCGCTGTAAGTTCTTGTCTTAAAGTATCACTCATAACCCACTTAGATAGTATTCCAGTACTGATTACCTCCTTATTCTTACCTGATATCGAAAGAGCTGCTCACAAGCTATAAATCAGACTGTTGCTCTGCTGCCCTGTGGGGAAGAGGAAAGAGGAAAGCACACTTCTGTGATCTCACCTTCTTTATAGGCAATTACATAGCAGTGTGCATGCCTCCAGCTTATGTGCATTATTTAAAAAAAAAAAAAAATAGAAGAAGAGGGGGGTGTGGAAAACAAAATGTTCTCCTTTTTATCCATGTTCTCATCTGGGGAGTAGCTGAGAAAACAAATTCATGAGATTGTTGTCACTGTGTTCCTGGAGTAAGGGCCAAGTGATGTTGGAGTAGCAGTAGCCTAATAAACTTTTTCTGATCCTTCCTAGTACATGTGATTAGTGTAGTAGTAACAAAAACGTCTTACTCATCCCTTCTCATGGGAGTGGAGAGTTCCTAGTAATCCATATGCATCAAATTGAAGTAGCTACACAGTATCTGTTACTCTGAGTTTCTCCCTGTCTTCTAAAGTAGGCTTGAGTGGGCTGTGGGACAACAGTGTCTCGTCTGAACTCCTTTTAATATTTCTGGTTCTTACTTAGCCTTTGTAGAGGACTGGATGAGCAAATCACAGGACCTGCAACTATGCTGCTTTCCAACCTAATCTCTTACGCTGGTGCTTATCTCTTCTCCATTTCTCATTACAGGTATACATCTGACTTTACAAATACATTGCAATCTATACGAAAGAAATGTAAACTGGATGATGTCCTATCAGATTCCCTTTTCCAGGAGGACTGGACTGCATTCCAAAACTCTGTCCGGTAAAGGGCCCCCCCCCAGCTCAGAACTGATTTTTGTATCAAAGTTGGCAGGAAATTACTGGGGGTCAGTTTACACAAGTTCTTAGTGCAGAGTGCAGGGCTATGCTTATTTAACTGCAGTGCTGCTGGGACCATTAGTGTTAGTGACTGGGTTTCAGGTTGCTACTGGCACAGTAAGTACTGTGAGGCTCCCCACCCCTGTCTGGAGCAGGACTGCATGTCGTATCACTGGAAATATCAGCAGCTCTTAGAATTTTTCTCACTGACACCGAGCTGGCCTTAGCCATGATGACAAGAAGTAGCATGTGGATGAGGCTGTTGGGCACAAAAATTCAGTAAGTTATCAAAGGGCTGCAGAGTTAATAGCCAAATTAACTCTTGACAGATGTGTCCCTTGTGGGCTGTGGTTTGGTTATTGCATTTTGCAATTACTTGACACGTGTCTGAGATGGGTTGTCTGGGGGGGGTCTGGCGTTATCTGCCTCAAATCTCACAACGTGGATTTTGTCTTGTTCTTTCTCAGGATAATTACTACTTGTGGCGAGCTCCTTCGTCAGTGTGGAGACTTTGAGCAGCAACTGGCCAACAGGTAAGCATCACTGAATTTAATTCATGAGCTGTCAACATAGGTACCAAGTTAAAAGAAAACAAACTCCAAGGTGCTTTCATCACATAGACCATGGAGGGAAAGCAGAGTCACTGTGGTTTCCCCCCGCTGCCCCTCCCCATCGTTTGAAATGCCGAAGATGGGTCACAGGCTGTTCCACTCAGTCATGTGCCCTGGTACAATCACAAGAATCCTTTTTCTTGGATACCTGGCTGGGAATTAGATGGACTGCCAGATTGGGGTCAGGAAGGAATTTTCCACCAGATCAAATTGGCAAGATTCTGCCCCCCCCATGTGACATGGACCATGAATCATTTGCTGAAATGAATCTAGGTGTGCCTTAATTGATCGATTCCTTGTAACTTGAGGAGCTTCAAGCACAGGCAGCACGTAGATCTTTTGTTGCTTGTAAGCAGTGCACTCTTCAGGCTCCTGTACGTTGAAATGCTTTAGTCTGACTTGAGTGCCTGTGCTTGGTGTAGGACATGGTGGCCTGCAGTGCACAAGAGGCTGGGTGTGTTCCATGTTTGCTAGACATTCTGAGAGCACAATCCTCTCTTTCTCATCTCAGTATTTTTGCGGTTTTTGAGTTGCACAGAGACATGAGAGTTGGCTGTAATTAGTGTCTGCCACCAATGAATGCTCACTCCCTTGAAATAACAAAGGTAGTGTTGGTCCTTGGACCAGCGTGAGAACAGTGCTGATTTCAGAGGATTTTGCTGATGACTTTTGTGTACTTGTTTTCAGGATTTTATCAACTGCTGGGAAGTATCTCTCAGACTCCTACAGCCCTTGTAGTTTTTCTGGCTTTCAGGATACCAGTTCTGCAGAAAAGAAGAGCTCCATAAAGAATCCCTGGCAGGAATACAATTATCTTTTGAAGGAGAATCCATCTGAGTATGCCAGCCTTATGGAAACGCTTTACACTCTAAAGGTATCTCTGGTGCTTGGGAGAGCCTGCCTCTATCACAGGATGCTCTTGTGCCCACATTTGGTAGATGAGACCTGGATTCCCCCTACATCCCGATTACTTTTCATCCTGAGCTGCAGCCTTTTGCTGGGCAATGTTCCAAGTCTTCCACAGAGACACTGATTGATCTGCTGAGAGATGAAATGTACAAACCCAGGAAGTCTGGACTCATTCCATCTCTCCCCAGATCCTGGCTATGTTTTGTGAACATGCCCTTATCAGTTCAGGTGAGGGAGATTTTGTTGCAGAAGGCATTGGAAGATTGTGCTGGAGCCATCTCAAATTCTGGAGCCCACATACTGGTTTCTCCAGACTTTCTTTGCCTCTCACGCTCTGCTGCCATATCCATTCTGAAATATAATTCTGCAAGATTATTCATGCATGCATCTCGGAGCAGAGTAGAATGACTCTGGTTATCTTCTTGTGGATCTAAGTTATGTTTGCTATCGTTGGTCACATGTAGTAGTGAAGTCAAAGTTATGAGTTCTGTCTCTTATTTCCTCAGAATGTTTTGATTTCTTTTGCGTTTAATTTACCTGCAACTTGTGCAGCTCTTCCTTCAGTGTTATATGTTTAACTTTAAACCTTTGCTAAATAGCCAAGTTCCACAGCTACCCTTCATGTAAAACTTTTGCTTAATTCCATGCAGGGAATCAGTTAGTTGTGCCCTTTGAGTAAAAGGCACTTTTGCCATCTTCTCTGCAAGTTTCTCAGTATCTGGCCCATACTGGTGCCTGGCATGGCTGGAATGTGATGCTGATTCTTTGTTCTATGTTTCATGGAGCAGTGTGCACTTTCCATCTTGAATAACTGGTTGGAATAGGGCATCCCAAAGGACGTACACTGAGCCATTGGAGAGGAAAGCACTTTTGTATTAAATGGCCTAATAAAGACCTCTTTAAGAATATTAACGTAGCTTCTCTGGGGTCAGTGAAATGACTTCTGTATGTAAACGCTTTTCTGTGTCTCTGTGTGTGTTAGGAGAAAGGTACAAGTAACCACAACCTGTTGTCTTCATCGCGATCTGCCCTAAGCCGCCTCAACCAGCTGGCACACCACTTGGCTTTTGATTCTGTTTTTCTTCGCATCAAACAACAACTCTTACTTGTTTCAAAGATGGAGGTGAGTAATGGGTACACCGATCTGATCCAAACTGGCAGGGTTTACCCGTGGGATACCTTAGGGTGGAGTACAGCTCAGTGTTGCTTACCTTTCTCCTTTTCAGAATGTCTCCCTCTGGTATCACATTTCTTCCATGGGCTACAGTCAGTGGAAAGGTTTATTTCCTTTCGTCCACAGCATTCACAACAGATAGCTATTTTTGCAAGCTCTGATGTTTGAGATGTTGCTTTTCTAACCTGTGTGAGCATGTATTTCCCACAGGGAGCTGTAAGGAAAGGGTGTGTATGTTTTGGGCCTGAGGGAGGGCAAGGGAAGCAGTTTTATCACTATCTGTGTTCTGCTTTCTAGAAGTCCTTGGGTAGTCACAGTTTGTGTTGCTGGGTGACCGTTCCTAGAATATTGATAGACTTCATGCTCCAGAAAATCATAGATTCATTCTGCCCTTTTTACCTTACAGAGTTGGAATTCTGGTGGCATTGGTGAGACCCTGACGGATGACCTGCCAAACTTCAGCCTCACACCTCTGGAATATATTAGCAATGTAAGAGCATGCAAGAGGAGTTACTGGAAGCCTGATGCTGGGGGAATCTCTTTTTTCCCTAGTTTTTTTGTAAAATTGTAGTATTTGTTAAAATTGTTATATGATGGTGATAGATGCTGTGGTCCAGCCCTCATCAGTTGGGTTGTGCCATTCTTTGTAGCTTTTATGAAATCCCTGTCAAATTCTGGAACAGCAAAAGAGCTGTTCAAGGAAAGGTTCTTCTCTAGTGAACTGCACTATTTCCAGTGTTAACTCTTGTAATGGGATGGTAAATACCAACTTTTGTTTGTAGTGCTGAACACTGAGCATATCTTCATGATGCAGCTCATGTAGCGCAGAGAAGTTCCTGCAGTGTGTAATGGAGTGATTTAATCGTACTACGAAGTTTAAGAAGTGTTGAGCTTTTACCCTTCTAATCCCCGTGTGACCTCGTGGTTTCTCTTTCTGATGGAGTAACAACAAAACCTTTCTGGCAGTGGAGTGTCTGAGTGGAAAAGGAGAGTGAACTGTTCATTCCTTCTGACTAGGTACTCCGCAGTTTGGTGCTGCTGAACAACATCCAGATTGCTCTCCCGTTCTCCTGGTTGGTGTTTCAAGTTGCTGCCAAATTTGCAGTTCAGATATTAATATTAGCTGCTATTATTATGCCAATACAACGTATACTTTGATAAGCAAGTTTTTTATGTTACTATCATTCTGTGCATCACACAGGGAACGGATTTTTCAGCAGATTCAAGGTGATGTGAGCTCAGGAAAAAAGCTATTAATGAGCATGAATACGTACTCCCATGTGGGGAGGCAGAGTACTCTGTATCTGCAGCTGGGAAGATTCTCTGTAGCAGCAGATGGTCACTTTATAAACAGGGCAGGTTTTGTTATATGCCTGAAGTTATGTAGCTTATGCGTGTGAATTTGTGACCATGGTCCATGTTTGGGAGTGATACGTTTCTGTATTTCATGATTATTTTGTCAGCTGAATCTGTGTTTCCTCTTCTGTGGTTTCGTTTGGTTCAGTCTCTTAGATTCTGCTCTAGAAAACAAATTGCTGGGAACACTCCAGAGATCAAAGCTTATCTTGGAGTCACAGTTCTCTGTACAGGTTTTTCTTAACGTGATTGTTTCAATGACTGATTCTCTGACCTTGTGAAAAATTATTTCTTGTACAAAGTGTAATGATGAGCAAGAACCAATTTGTTTCTGAGCAAATGTAGGTTTGTGAGTTGCTGTCAAGCTCAACTTTCAGGTCTGGAGTACTCCAGTTGACTTTTTTTCTCTAGCAAAGTACTTGCTTCACTTTTATTCAGTGACTCAGCTCTTTGTGCTTTTATTCTAGATTGGACAATATATTATGTCCCTTCCTCTCCACCTTGAGCCATTTGTCACTCAAGAGGATTCTGCTTTGGAACTGGCATTACATGCTGGAAAACTACCTTACCCCCCAGAACAAGGTAGGGTGAAACCAAAGGCTTGAAGTGTCTGGGGGAAAGCTTTCACATTTTGATGTTACACGGGTGTAATGTGTTATGGTAAAAAAGCTGTTTGAGATCCATTTCCTACTGTCTAGTCATGCCGTTTCTTCCAATAGTCTCTTGGTAATAGGCAGGAGGAGCCTTTAAATAACAATTAAAACTTTTTCAGTTTCATTCAAACCAGAGGCTTTAGCTTGGTCTGTTTAAGTTTAGTGGTCGTTAAAACTGTGGTTTGGGGTGCAGGGTCTGAAGCATTACTGTTTCAGAGTTGGAGCCATATTTAATATCCCAGGTGCAGGCAGTGAACTGGAGGTACCTGGGGAGGTACTGGAGGTACCAGTTCCAAACTCTGAAGGGAACTGTTGAGCCATCTAGCCTGAAAGACTTCTCAAGTTAGCTTCTGTGGCTTCTGCTCCTTATCTGCCTGTCCACTGAAGTACAGTTCATGGAGTGGCGTGGGCTGTCTTAACAGCTTTCTGAACGGGGAGTCCTGCTCCGGCTTTGTGCTCCTGCCCTCTCCTTTGTGCTGGTTCCACAGCAGGGCTGTTTCCATTCATTAACCCCACAGAAAAGTATTCACTTGTTTCTTTTTCTGGCCTACTTTCTCTCAAAAATGTATCAATACAGTGATTTAAGTCAACTTCTTAAGAAGTCTGCTATGCAACAGAGCTGGCACGAAAGCACAGCAAGGGGTAGGCAAAGAGGAAGCTTGTGACCATGTTTAGAAGTGGTGAGTTGTTGGGTTGGCTGACCCTCTCATGTTACGTCCTCATCTACTGCAGAAAACCACCCTGCATCAGTGAATTCTTACCCCCAGACAGTGTCTAAGCTGGGATTCTTGCAACAACAGCTGACAGGAACTAACCTAGTGTGAAGCTTTCCAGCCTCAGACCCCAGTGAAATCTGGAGAGAAAGTCTCATGAGCTTAGTTTTACACCAGTCACTCGTGGTGTAAAATATGCAGTCCTCCATGGCCTTGCTGAGAACCGTAGTCCCTTAATTTGTTGCTAGAAAAAGAGGAGCCTCTGAGCTCCTTTGATCAGGAATAAATTATTTGTTCTCAAGCACAATAGTAATCCCATTTACTTGTAAACAAATCTTTCGTCTGCCTCTTTTCTCTGTAAATCCAGGAAAAACTACTGTTACAACCTGTGTGACATGCTAACCTATGCCCATCTGTGACAAAGGTTAGGAGCCCACAGTCAGAAACTGGTCTGCTGTCTGTCTTGTTTTGGACAGGTTTTGTATCTTTGAGAATTCCTTTTCTTAAGGGTCCAGAACGCACTGAGGAGTTCTTTCTGAGTGTCGTTCCTTAATTTCTTGCAGCGAGCTAAGTTTTGGCTCACATTCGTTCTTCGGGTGGCTGTCCTTACCTGTTGTGTCATTAATCCTGCTGCAGTTAGCAACAGTAGCTACATAATGCTTCCCAGCACGTTGGCACTGTACCATGGTTTGCTGTGGTTAATCTGTTCTCGGTGTTTGTTTCCACTGACAATCAAGGAAGCGTAGAGCTTGGTTTTTATAGTCTTCCTGTAGCCTTCTGATAATACGCTCTTTAGTTTAGGTTTTAGCATTATTTTGTCATCTTGAAGCTTTTACATGTTTAATAGTTTGTTAATTTTCAAAACACTTATGAACACAGAATGCCTTTAGGGCTTGGAAAAAAAACAAAACCCAACCTGTGAATCCTTGTCATTGTAGTAGTTTGTAAACTAGTCCTGGAAGATGATCCTGTGAACATGCCAGGCAGTGTCCCTGATCCCAGCCTGATCACCTGTCACCTCTGTGGAAATGACTTAACCTGGAGAAGTAATAGAGGAAAGTAAAGTGGTTTGGGTCTTGAGCTACCTTTCAATGTTGTATAGTATCAGGGAGGATATGTAACTGCTTTGATTACTTGAAAAAACAGCTGACAAACTCTGAATCCTACTGAACACCTTAATATCCTGTTGAAGAAACAGTTCACCATTTATGAATTAATTTTTGTTACAAAACCAGCAAATGCAGGTGAGTGAGATTGCTGTCAGCTAATGAGAATTTTCTGTCCAGGAGATGAATTACCTGAGCTGGACAACATGGCTGACTACTGGCTGGGCTCCATCGCCAGAGCTACGATGCAAACTTACTGCGAAGTCATCCTGCAAATACCAGAGCTCACAGTGCATTCAACAAAGCAGCTTGCCACGGACATTGGTAAGCTCGGTGCAAACATCATCCTGAGATCTGTTGCTGTAACACGTGGGCTCCTCTGTCATTACCTTAGATTTAAAGAAACTGCCGCCTGGGTTTCTCCTTTAGTTGTGAGCATGTTAATCTGATTCCCGGCGTGGTGGAGTGGTTCCCAGCTTCTCTTTTGCAAAGTGTTCTATCACATCCCTCTTTGAGGGAAGGGTCGTGTTCCAGTAGGTACTTCTGCTTCTTCACTGCTTCGTGTTTCTGACTGTAGAAGTCAAAGTCCTGAACTGAGAGGATTCCCTTACAAACCGCTCGT